TGGGTTGGAAAAGTGGGGGTCATCTTGTACATGGGGGCGTCTTACTGACAGAAAAATACGGTAATCAAAGGCAACACAATGGCTGGGCAGGGATATAATGCCAGCCGAGATTGGTACAAAATTACCTGTAGCAGCAGTTTTCAGCTTACAAGTCAAGCTAGAGAACCCTCAAATGCTTCCTTAAAACTTCCTGCAATAAAATCTCAGCTGTTCAAATATGTAGTATCAATTGTGATACTAAGAAAACAAAACTGTTGGAGTCAAGTTGGTTACACTCTTCCACTCAGCCCATGATTCAACTCTTTATCCATTTAGAGAAGACAGAAATAGAGCTCAGAGTTGGCAGAGTGACTCGTTAAATTCTGTTTTGTTATCATGTTCAGGCCCAAAAACATACTAACAGTTTCCAAGCTTTTCTTTAACTTAAATGAACTGTTATGTGCATTTTAATATTTGAGTCAGCTGTCTAAATTGCTAGACTTGTAGACACTCACCTCTAAGAGGAACTGGCAAATATTCTTCCTCTGGTCACCCTGCAATTGGATCACTTCCCCGTATTCAGGATGCTCAATCACAGTACCATTACAGGCAAATTTCTGCAGAGAAACATTGTTATATTAATGGCAACAAACTGTTTTTCAGGTTCTTGAAACTTGATTCACCAATCATGAAAACTCTGGGCTCACGACTTGCGAGGAGTCCTGCACAAGGTCGCTGCCTCAGCTTCACTGCAGTAGCAAAGATTGCTTGGTGCTGCTGTGGCGTGGCATAAGCAGGAGCACCATGTGACAGAAGCTCCTTCTCAGTCTGCTCCACAGCAGCCTCAAGTGCCCCGGCCTGCTGCAATTAAGCCAAGGCAGTGAACTTGTGCCTTTTCCCCAGATGGCAAGCAGCGAGCTTGCACCGGGAGCCGACCTGCTCCAGACCTCAGAACCCCCAGCACACAAAGGAGAACCTCTCTCCAAAACAAGTTAAATTAATTTCTCTCCTCCCTTCAAAAAAGGTTGAATTAATATCTGTTGAGTTCCAGGCTGCACAACCTCCACGATCATTGTTAACTTTATAAAAATTTCAATTTTTAAATTAATAGTAATTAATGTTTAAATTCAGAATACATCCAGAGTAGAAGGAAAGAATGTGGAAAAAGTGTAAAGAGGAGGTGATTCAAATGCTGTTTGTATAATGCTTTTCTTTTTTTCCTTTCATTACAGTATCAAATTCTGAAAGAGAAACAGATAGACAGACGCTTACAAAATATTGATTGCAGTTATCAGTGACTAGTGAGTTTATATTATTATATTCTGTAAGCACTGTTTGGTGCAGTGGTTAAGGTTAAGGTGTCAGATTAGAAACCAGGAGATGGTGAGTTCTGGTCATGTCTTGGGCAAGAAGCCAGCTGGGTGATCTTGGGGCAATCACTTTTCTCCCCCCAGGAAGAAAGAACTGCCAAGTCACTTCTGAAAAATGCTGCCAAGGAAAGTGCAGGGGGCAGTTACCAAGAGTCCAAAATGACTTGAAGGCACAACTTTCAAGCATGTATGTGACATACTACTATATTTACTATACTTTAACTAAGAAATACATACATATTTTAACATGTCACCATTACACGTATTTGCAGCTTACTTGTATTCTTGTATTGTGGTGCACAAATTTTTACATGGCTTGGGAAAAGCTGCACAAAACTTTTTTTTCCACACATGGGATGTCAGAAATTAGAGGGAAAATTGCAGGATGGTGATAAGTAGAAGTAGGAGGTGTGAAACTGGTTTGTGCGATAATTTGGCAATAGGCCAGGAGGACGATCAGAGTGGGGTGGAGGTGAGGAAATATATATGTATACTGTATAGACACAAATAAAACATAAAATATTTATATAAAAATATATAAAAATATCCACAAATATTGAAAACAAATAATCAAATTCGTAATAATAGTATTTTTTATGTTTTAGTTACAGTTGCAAGAAAAAGTATGTGAACCTTTTGGAATTTCATGGTGTTCTGCATTAATTT